GAGAAATTAGTTAGTTAATTTCTCTGTCACTGTCTGTGATAGTCTCTAAACTCTCTGTAACGGTTCGTGATGGTCTGTGCTGGCTTCTGAAGTCTATGTAACGGTCTGCGATGATCTCTAGAGACTCCATGCACCATAATACAGACAGCGACAGAGAAGCTCCACAGATCATCACAGATCGTGGTAGACGGATTCCAGAAAAGGGTCTTTATCGTGTTTCACATTTTAATCCCACAGAGATTGCGCTAACAACTTATTTTGTTTGATCTGTTATTTTATTTTTTCATATGGTATTCCATTGCATTTTATATTTTTTATTATTTTATTTTATTTCCATCATCAAGTATAAATGCTTCATGATGGCGAGAAAATTAAATTCGATTTTCTAGGTTTTAGAATATATTCCAATTGTTATATCGGATTCGAAATACTAGGAATGCCTATATGAATTCACTGTGGATTTTCCAATTAGAAAATCCAAGTTCATATTTTTAATGTTTTGAATATCTTATTTTCAAGATTTTAGAAATTCATCGGCGAATTCATATAGGCATTCCTAGAATATCCTCGATTAACCTCTACAACTTATTTTCTAGTTTACAGTGTATTCGATTGAGCCGTCGACAATTCTTCATGACTTTCGATTTTCAAGCGGGTACTTATTAATGAAGAATGCATCATGTGCACATCAGAGTCAGAGGAAAGCAATCCCTTCCAGGGTGAATTAGACAAATGTGAGTTGTTATCTGAATAGATGATGTATCGATTCTTGTCGAATGACAAAAAAACCAACCTAATACTTATTAGTTTTTTTGTATAGGAATTTGTCATCGTAATTTTAACAAAAGACCTCACTCGATCTGTCTACTAGTAAAATAAGGACTTTAGTGGTCGTATCAATTTAGTGCAAAAACAGTTAAAACCTCATATCGATGAATTATATGATGATAAAAAATGTATTTTTGTTGATTTATTCAAGAACAATGTCAACATTTTTAAACACTTTTTGTTTTATTATCATAGAAAAAGACATAATATACGCCTTCACAGTTTGACGAAGAAGACCACAAATACAAAGATGTCGACAGATGAGATATACGCATAAAAATATCGTTTGCTCTTTGAAGGACATATAATATTCTGTTTATTTCTAAGATTGTAAAATGGGTCAACATAAGAAAAAAAACTTAGTCACTTCTACCAGTATCTCTATCTTGCAATATCACTCAGAAAACGAGTCTGTGAGCGTATACAACGTACGTTTTCTTCTATCTAATGCGTGTCATTAACTGCCATCACTACACAACTGTCTCTTTAGAGCGTCATGATCAACGAAAATAAAGAAAAAATATCTTCAGTTGACATAAATGAATCGGCTCTTGCAATACCTGTAACACTGTCTACATCGCTTAGAAATTCGGTCGATTTTCTATGACGTCAAATGGAATCTGTCAATAAACTAAATCCGTCAGTATCCAAGCCGCCTATTAAACTAGGAAGTTGAATTGAAAAATATTTGCGCGTAGGTGTAGGTATTCGTTTCACAGAATCCTATAGCAATGGTCGCAGGAACACCCACACCCTTTCGACACAGGTATTAGTGNAAAAAAGCAGTTTTTTTTGAAAAAAAATCCTCAAAAAGTATTTTTACGATAACTCCACTATTTCCCAGTCAAGGTGACAACTTTTTTATACCAAAATGATCAGCGTAAAATTCTCTACAAACCTTCCAAGTTTCATCAAACTCTGAGATGGTCACCGTAAATCGCTGGAGGAAGCTGGCGGAATCACCCACCTACAACCACGATTACAATCATGAATGATGATTCCAGCTTAGGTGTATCAAGTGATTCTCAAAATTTGAATAATGTTATCGTCGAGCCTGATTGTGCAGCAGAAAGTAATGAATTGAACGCAATTGATTCTCGACCAGACACTAATAACAAGGATATTGGCTATTATATATTAAATAAATTGCCAATTGACGATAATTTGAAATATTCTTTATTAACAAATCATTTTAAACCAAATGGAAAATACTCATTTCCAACTGCATATTCAAATGATCAAAAAACCTCTCGTCGATTCCTGATAAGTTGGTTAAATGATAATTCATTTCTTGCTTATTCACCATATATTGAAGGCTGCTATTGTATAAATTGTGTATTATTTCGCAACGTACAAGGGCAGAAATTGGAACTGTTTGTTGATACACCATGCTATAAATACAAACATTTGAAGCATTTTAGTACATCGTTAAAAAGCCATATAAATTCACAATTTCATCAGAACTCAATGATTGCCACAGACAATTTTATACGTACATACAAAGATCCATCATTATCAATTTCATCATTAATTGATAAAAATCGAATTGAAAAAATTAATCGTAACAAAGCAATATTATTATCAATAATTAAAATAATAATTACTTGTGCACGTCAAAACATTCCCATTCGTGGCCATAGCGACGAGAGCATCAGTGAAATAAGGAGCAATGTTGACGATATTAACTGTCCTGCTGGATCAAATTTTATTGCATTATTAAAACAACGTATTGATGCTGGTGATGAAATTCTTCGTGATCATATACAATATGGACCTAAAAATGCGTTGTACACTAGTTCGCAAGTTCAAAATGAAATTATTGATTGTATACACAAATATATGCTGAACGACATTTTACATCGAATAGAAAATTGTTTATTTTCGATAATTGTCGACGAAACGACAGATGCATCAACCGTCGAACAAGTAAGTTTTTCAATACGGTATTATGATAATAAAACAAATGATATAAGAGAAGACTTTTTAGCATTCATTGAAGCTGTTTCATGTACTGGTGAAAGTATATCTAATATTATTCTTGATTATTTAAGAGCGTATAATTTACCATTTGATAACTGTATAGGTCAAGCCTACGATGGAGCATCCAACATGGCAGGTATCTATAGAGGCTGCCAAGCGTTAATAAAACAAAAGTGTCCAGATGCTGATTATTATCATTGCTCCAATCATTGCCTCAGTCTTGCCCTGATTGATAGTTGTGGCATTGCACATATACGTAATATGATGGGAACAATTAAAGAAGTTATTAATTTTTTTTCAGATTCACCAAAACGAATGCAAGCTCTTCGAAGCGAAATCAATGATTATCAAGGAGAATATGTTAGTTTAACAAACAGAAAACGATTAATTAGTCTATGTGATACTCGATGGGTCGATAGAAACACATCAATCGAAACATTTTTAGAATTATATATTCCCATTATCAATACATTAGATAAGTTTAGACATGGAAAATTGAAAGATCCAACAGCTGAGCAATTATTCCATGCTATCAATAATTTTCAGCACATTATTTCAACTTGTATTTCATGTTTCTTGCTATCTGATATTGTTCCAATCAGTCGGCTACTACAAACTGAAACATTGGACTTTTCATCGGCTAATCAACATGTTGAAGAATTATTACATAAATTTGAACAACGAAAGCTTCAAGCACAAGATTACTTTGATAATGTTATTTATAGTCATGCTGGTGAATTATGCAAAGAATTATTTGTTACACCAATTATACCACGTCATGCAGTATTAAGTTATCGAACACAAAATACGCCGGTGCCCAATCCAGAAATATTTTATTGTGATCGTGTATATTTGCCATTCTTAGACGAATTGATTAATAATATTAGTGGTCGATTATCTAGTTTAAAATGTGAAAGAATCATTTTATTGAGTAAACTGCGACCTGAATTAATTCTACGTGAAAATTCATTTGAATTATCGAAATCCTTATCCAAACAATTTGCTGATCGTTTACCATCACCATTACAATTAAATTCCGAATTAGAAAGATGGCAAAAAAAATGTAACGATTTGCTTAAAATGAACGAAGAGCGGAAGAAAAAATGGATAAACGAACTTATTAAAGAAGCAGACCACGTTTTATTTCCAAATGTTCGGTTTTTATTAATATTTTTAGCAACATTACCGGTTTCAACAGCGTCAGCTGAACGAAGTTTTAGTAAATTGTCAAGCATCAAAACCTATCATCGTTCGACAATGAAACAAAACAGGCTAAATGGATTAGCTATGGCATACATTCATAAAGATATTAATATGGATGCCGATGAAATTTTAAAAATTTATTGTCAAAAATATAATCGTCGTCTTGATTTTGGCATGTAAAAAACGAAATATTAGTTACACGTATATGTACATTAAAAATAAATGAAATTGTATATATGTCCAATAGCTCGTACTTGTATGTTAAGAACTAGTATTATGTCTTTTTGTGCATAAAATTGGTTTTTATGTTTTGGTTTACTAAAAGAACATCAATTCGTAGTTTTATTTTATGAAAAGAGTATTTTTTTTTGTGTAGTTAAAAGAAACTAGTGTGATATTCTTGTGTTACTGAAAGTTTTATACTATTATTTTGTTATTATTTGAACCTCATCTTATTTTTGTTTTATTGTTCCTTTTTTTGATATTTTTGAGACTGAAATAGTTTTGCCTATCAATAAAAATATTGCCCAAATTGCCCATATCTTTTTTTATACACAACACAAGTTTGCCCATAACGCTAAAAATCCTGTATACGCCATTGTATGTGTATGGTTTAGTTTTCAAAGTTTTGTTTGTTTACTTTTATGGAAAAATAATATAGTGAAAATGAACGTTTTCATAAACAGAAAAATGTTTTACACAATTTGCCCAATTCTTAAAAGAAAACAGATGGAGTATGCTGGCTAAATTTCATATGATTGAAGGAAACATTTATGTGAGCTATTTGGTTGAAATTGAACATTTGTTTCTACCACTTTGCACAGGTACGCTTTTTATCTAGAAGAGAAACATGATTATATGAAAATGAATCGTTTCGTCTATCGAAAAAATCACTCAGATAATTTTTTCGATATGAAACAAACAAATGTCATACTTAAGTTTCAGAAAGTTGATGAAGCCAGCGATGTACATCAATTAATTGTCAATAAGCACGTTGTCGTAGAAATTGCACAAGTTCTACTGTTTTCTCTAGATAAAGAAAATGATAAAACGAAGAAGAAATGTTTCATATAGAAAAAAAAATATGCCAGATAACTTTTCAATATGTTAAAGTGAAATCGAATAAAACATCATACTTAACTATCGTCAGCCCAAGTGAGCAAAAGACTGGTTAAATGACTAGTCTTTTTTCTAGTCGTGTCGCCCCGTCTCGACTAGTCTTTGTCTCAAAAAGTCCTCGTCTGGGACTTGTCCGAGGTTTTGACCGTCATGCATACGCGTCCTAATACTCTGATTGACGACTAGTCATAAAATCTAATAAGAGTAGTCGTGACGAGTGTCCCTGTCGCCCGTCCGAAAATGGTTTATGAATGAAAAATTAAGGGCGCCTGGGGCGAGTATACAACCAGCTGGAGCCTTATATAGTGGAAGAGTCTGGACTAGGCTGAATGAAAATATGTAAGGATGAAGATTAGATTCGAACAGGTATAAAATGTGCCACTTACCCGTCGCCAGAACCATTGAGCCATATGATCCTGAAGTCATATTCTACAGACTCATGACCATTCTAAGATGTTATTTAATACAATTTTTACTCCGAATTTTTAATTTTATGTATCAATAAAAATTACCTTTTACCGAAACGAAATTACTTTAGATAAAATTATTTCATACTCAAATCTCCGTACATTCATCTAATAAATAAATTATCTTAGCTTAATTTAGAATTATTACAATTGATATCTAACATAAACTAACACAAGGGGGGAAAAGCTGAATTTTTGATTGCCCAGATTGGTTTGATTGCCAACGATTGCCCAAAGATTGCCAAAGATTGCCAAAGATTGTCGATGATTGCCAATGATTGCCAATGATTATTTTTCTTCTTTGGTATCGAAAAATCATCGATTCGAGCCATTTTTAGTCAATATAAGTTTGTATCTTAAGAAACATCATAATAATATGACGACTTTACTCGTCATTGTTCATAGAAAACAGAGTATATACATGATGACAACTACATAAATTACTGTCGCGCTCTTTGTAGGAAATATAAAGGCAAATTAAAATTTCTGGTGTTACCTAAAATTACCCTTCAAAAGTCTGTATAACTCATCGAAAAGGAAAGATGAGATTCAAATATGAAGAACTGGAATCTAAGTAGATTTTATCATTTGTTCATAATGCGCTTTAAACGATCTGAAGACAAAATAGATTTATCACTTGAAAGGAGTCAAGCAGCTGTCTATTTATGTAAATATATTTTTGTACCATTTAATGTTAATGATGAAGTACGACTTGGTCAAGGTGGGATTAATGGAATCAAAAACTCCCATTCCTTGAAATGTAGTCGAACTAGCTTTGAAAAGATTATTATAGATACTTAATTCTCGTCATTCTCAGTTGAATCTTCATTATCTGTGCAATTTTCAGTAGTATCTTCATTATCTGTGCAATTTTCAGTAGTATCTTCATCTCCTTCACCACTACTATCACTTGAATCTGAGTAAAAGTCTGGATCATGTTGGTTAAGATGTGAATAATCGACTATTCGCGATTTCAAAGTTGAAAAATAGCCAGCTTCGACATTTTTCTTAGTGATAAGATTTGATGTTGTTTAATACATATTTACGTGACATACGAGACGACTTGCATAAGAATAAGCTTGCGAAATATTAGGTTGGCAGCAAAGTTTTTGCGTTTTTTTAAAAAATTTTATTTTTATTTTTTAACTTCAACACTACAACTAGCTTTCAGATATATATGCACCACTACTATCTATGACTTGTTGCCATCGCTCTGGTAGAGATAGGATCCCACTTTCGTAGAAGTCCTGGGACTTTTGACCAAAGAAG